CAGATTAAGGTCAAGCTGATCAGATCAAACCCTGACCTGAATTCACCTTAAATATTTGGATCCGAGTAACTTGATCAAAACTTGATCAGTTCCTCATCAGACATCACCTGATCAGGTAAACCTGACAAATACCGGATCAAATACTGATCCTACTTCAGGGCGGCCTGAGGCAATTTCCACTCGGGATGTACAAACTGCAATAATTACATCGTCATAACCACCAAAAGGCAAACCGGACCAAAAGGTATATTCAACGTTTATCGAAGTTTCCATAGACTAATAAAAAGCTCTTCGCAAATGAATCTGGTAATCCCATTAGCTCCCATTCGTCTTCAGAGGTTAGGTCTTGTATTATGAAAGAGCTTCACCAATTTTTTCATAAAAAGAGAATCAGGAAGATGCAGACGTAAAACGAGAGAAGGAGGTGGCGATAGTCGGTTGAGGTAGGACAGAGAAAAGGAGAGGGCGGTTGAACTCGGGTGTACGCAGCCGTAATTTAAACTAGGCGGCTGCATGAAAAGAAATGGTCTCGTAATGCATAAATTCAATATTACCCCGACACCTCCCTGAGGCGCCATCCGACTTGGAGACTCGGCGACGCCTTTTCCGTAACCCGCACATACACATTATATGTACATTTTCGACGCCTCCTTTTTTTTCATCCTGGAAAAAACCCATGGGCGGGCTTTCATCGTGGAGTGGCCCGAGTTCGTATCTCACATCCTGACGTGCGAGAGAAAAAAATGCGCTAAAATCATCCGGGGCTCAGGTGTGAGGAGAAAGAATTGAGGTATTGCATCGGAGTTAAGGAGGTTGCAAGGTGTTACACAATTTAGAACTTATTCAAGACTCGCTAACACTCCTGGGAAAGCTTCTGGGGGAAAAGGTGGTCTACGGGGTTTTAGTAAGACCTACGTTGGTATACTGGGGCCACTGAAATTATAAGGGTTACGGTCATAGCAACATTTCACGTAGCATGTGAAAACCACGTTACTCTTCGCTACCCCCTGTGTTACCACGCGTGTATGCGTTTATATATGTATATATCGGTTGAGTAATATATGTGGCAAGAAGTAGCACTCTTTACTGTGATTGCATGCTTGCCCCCCCCCCCCCCCCCCCCCCCCCCCCACGTCTTCATCTGTTGATGGAGAAAACGCCCACATAGTCCCTAAGGCATCCTGCCCGTCAGCTAATTGAGTTGCACCACTTCCTTCATTCGATCAGCCCCATCGGCAAGTTCATTATTTTTATCTCGATTGCATTTATCAATTTTATCGATAAAAAATTTTTAGTTGCCAATGACCTTACTCGGCTTTTCTTCTCTCATTTTCAATCTATCTATCCAATTAATTATTAATTCCAAATTTAATTAAGCCTCGATAAGGGGGATAAAGTTTCACTTCTTTGTTAGTTTAAACTTCCTAATAATAAATTCGAGATTTCATATTGGCCAGATGTCCCATACCTGCTTCTTGTATTAATAATCAAATCAAGTTAATCAATTCTATAATTGACTAACTTGATAATGCTTCTATCTATAGATGGAAGTTATCGTAAATCGAATCCAAATTTGTGGCCATGACTATTATGTTCTATTTTCCGAATGATATTACGCTGGTAATTTACTTAGTTATGGAAATAAAAATCGTGACGATACTATATATAGCTTCCTCAAATAAAGCCATCGGAACATTCATGCATTGGTTATTTGTATACTTCTGTGAATATACCATTCCATATTGATTTTGTTGGAAAATATAAACATAAACTGCGGACGTCGTTGGACTCGTGGTTAAAGCGTCCCAGTATAGGGCAGGTAGGAGTCCCGATGATGGAAAGGATTTTTTCATCCCCGGAAAATGAACCCACTACGTGTGGAGTTAGTTACAAGGTAGCTTAAGGGTGAGTACGCGTTGGAAATTGGGCTGGAGTACCACGTAGGTATTGGGACGAGTAGGTAAAAGACCACAAGGGTCATACATTGAGAGAAATCTTTGGTAAAAATTACTCTTCCAAAAAGGATAAGCGCTTATCACTGAAATATTTCGTCTGATTGAACATCCTTAAGTAAACTTATTTATTTGATGAAAGTAAATAATTTCGCTAGTATTACATTGTATAGCCATACAATGCAG